AGCTATGACTATTTTTAGAGATCAGCTGCAAAATGAGTGGGCGTTCAATGTTTACTTTGGGGTGAATTACATTTTGTTGAATATATATTATGAAAGTCACTGGGGAAAATGTTATGTGGAAATAGCTTGAAGATCAAATTATCTGAAGTAACTCTAGTTCTTAAAGTGAGACATTTTACCACAGTTAGTCAATGATAACAAATCTGAACTTTTTGACACTGTCATTTTAGTCTCCAAGCTTGGTTATTTTCCTTGTGGTATTTTCTTCTGCCACTAGGTGGCTGTGGGTTAGAAATCAAAGACTCGGGATCAGCACTGGACTGTGAACTGTAAGGTCAGTGGTCCAACCACCAGCTGTTCCTTGGAAACTCTATAAGGCGTCACTATGAGTCGGAACCAACTCGACAACCCTTAACAACAACGTATCTTAACAGTCTCTGTCATCAACATCCTCAAAAACATCAGAGCTGTTCCAACTACAGATCTACTTTTCAAACGCCTTTATAGTAACTTCTGATTAATAACTGTAAATGTTTGATTCCATTATGAACAGCATTGAAGACAGTGAAAACAGTCTATTAACAACATATGCAAGAGCACCCATCTGAACTGCACTGGATAGTATTCCCTGGGGTCTGAAAAGTCACCTTATTGAGAGTCACAGGATGGGTATCAAGGCCATGTGACAACTGATTTGTTTTAAAATTTTAAAGAAAGAACAATACCAATTTTAAGAATTTTAAGTATATTTTATTAACAATGTATCCCTTTGATAAGATTATGCTTCCGGAGGCTTTTAATGCCCTTGACATAAACTGTACACACATTGTACAAAACAAGAAAATCACAAAAAGAAAAAAAAAAAAATCAAGGTGAGCAAAACCATTTGGGGACAAATCTTATTTAAATTATACACAACTCAATGAAATATTCTTACAGAAAATATATAAATACTTTTTCTTTCTATGTTACAGTTATACAATATAAGTCAGATTTCAATGTCTGTCCAGTGACCTACATACACCAGAACCTCCAAATATGTAGCAGCGTCATTACTTAATAAAAAAGGAAATCGTGTGGCTAGGGAGCAGTAACTCTGAGAGTCTTTTCACAGTCCCTTACCACTTTCAGAACTAATTTACACCATTTGTTTTACAATGCAGCTTTAGGGTTTCTGACAGGCCAGTAATGAAGTTTTGTTTTGTTTTTTTTTTTAACCCCCCTTACTCTATACCCCAAGTCTTTGCATTTTGTGCTAAATCAACCTATTTAGTGGCAAAATTGCAAGGTATGCTTTTTGGAGGCATACACCATCTTTCAAATTAAATAGTTTACAGAGAAAATCAAACAAAATGTGCAAGTTACGCATGCTGTGACACTGCTGTCCCCCACATTTCAAACACACTCCAAAGGGGGAAACCCACTTCTGCGTGAGTGATAGAAACCTCCCAGGAATGAAAACTAACCTGGGAGCCTGCATCTAAAGGAAAAAGAAACTCCTAGAAAGATTCTCCCAGATTTCAATGGCCTTTGCAAGCAATGCTATTTAATGTCACTGGTATGCGTTACATAGAACTGCTCACTGAAGTGAGACTTGCAATCAGACAGTAACAGTGCAGTTTTGTGAATGGGGAAATAATGGCGGCTTTCCCCAAACGTTTCTTTTGTAAAATCTGAAATGTTTTCATTCTAAACAGCTCTTCTCATAAAAGTTTCTCTCAATCAGGTCTGTCTTTTCTTTTTCCTATGTTTTAATGGATTGTGAGTTTGAGACAAAACTGGAGGCATAAGATTGGGGGAGGGGACAACCTTACTGCCCAAGGAAATTTCCCAAGGTAGTTTACAAAGCTAATCTGCACTCAAAAATTAGCACCTCACTCTCACCATGGAAACATTTATCATTTGAATGACAGAACATTTGATGGTTTTTATTGCTTAATGATCTGTGCTTTTAATGTGGAGATAAAAGGCATCCTTTGAATGGAATGAAGTACAATTTTATATAAATAGCAGTAGACAAATCTAAATAAGCATCGAGACACCTCACTGTGGACTCCTCTGCCATTGGGACAGGTCCTGGAAACTCAGCTTAATTACCTCACGCTCTGGACACAAGAGTGTCCACTTCAGAAGGACCTGTACACACTGCGACATCAGAGAAACAGATATAACTATAACGTGTGTGCCTCCACAGGACTCCTGACTCCCAGAATGTCCTTGTGCTCCCAATTCGTATTAGAGAAAGGTTAATTAGGGAGAACACACCTTCCCACGCCCCCTCAAATCTACCTAAGCATAAAACAGAAAATAAAAGGGTACGAAATTTTAGACCATATTATTATAAATACTAAATTTCTAATCTGTCAGTATTTACTTAGTATGTGAAGCTGAAATCTCTTCTTGAAAAAAAAATTCAATTAGAAATAACAATTCACTTTACAATTAGAAATTCACAGTTTACAACTAGCACAACTGCTCAAATTCCTCCAAATTATTCAATAATTAGCCAGAGTACAAATTTATGTAGGTTAAGATTAATTCTAAAGTCTTGAAAAACTACAATATTGACATTATTTTGGTATTCTATAGTCTGGTAATACCTATTATAGATGATTTTCTCAATTACTTCTATTACCACTGACACCATTCCTAACCTTTCTGATATAAATATTTTTAACATCTAAATTAATAGCTTGGCACAGCATGTATTTTTCATCATGAAAGTTCTACTTTTATACAAACAAGTACTCAAAGAAAGCGTTATTGAACCTGTCAGGGGAACCGAAGATAAACCGAATAGTACTATAAATTTCAGTACAGACATTGTATTTCTTACTATACCCACAAAACTGTGTCTCCCCAAATTAAGTACTATTGTAAGATATGATGATGGGTAAGTGTCATTCAAAGTAACCATCAAAAACTTCTTCCAGCTAATAGTAACTAAATCCTAACTTCAGAAATCAGAATGATAGGGTTGGGTATACAGAGATGGGAATGGTGTTGTGTGTCAAAACAAATTACTGGTTACTTTAGAGGGATTAGACCACAGATTTCATACTCTATATTAACTGAGGTAGCGTTTAAAATTAATGTCTAAAAGATGTTAATCCCATTAGGAGTAAGATTACTATAATACGTCCTTTGAAGTTTTAACCACTATTTGGTCTAGGATGTGTTTGGTTCTCTGGAAAGGCAGGTGACTTTTTCAAGACCAGAGACCAAGGTGACAGGCAACGTTCTTAAGAGTTACTACTGCGATAAATACACACTTGGGTTCAGCAATAGTTTTGGGCTTTATGAGAGAAAATCTGAAGAACCACTTTGTGACCTCAGCAGCAGCTTACAGCCCTTATCTGCTTTGCTCTAATGGAAGTTGCTACACAGTGCACATGAGAACAGTTCCCTGACGTGCAGTCTCAGAGGTGTTCGGAGGTGAGATGAAGTGCTTCATCCCAACAGGAACTTTCAGTGCCAGTAAATGCAAAAAAAAGCACATTTCTGTGAGTTATGATTTCTAATTCACAGGGTTCTTTACTGAAATCTCAAACAATAAACCCATTATAAAAAGGATCTGCAAAGTGGGCAAATATTAATCAATGGGCTATGACTATGTCAAAGCTGATGGTTTTGTTGTTGTTTTTTTAATGGTATACACAAATGAATTAAAAAAGGGTCCAAATCAGTCCGGCTGGAATTTTTGTTTTCTACTTACATACAGATCTCAAAAAAAGATACTCCTTTCATTTACAAGCATTCTAATGATGATGGCCATGCTATATTTATATATACAAATTTGCATATATGTTTAATTTCTGTAAAAATTTCCAAATATTTTTAGACATATACAAATGAAAACAACCAAAAACACCTTGCCCTCATCAACGAAACTATTTCACAAATGTGATAAAGGCAATTACTGCATTCATAAACTCACCTATCACTGCATTTAATTTGTGCAAAACAACAACACTGGTAGAAAAATTAAATTACTGCTGCTCTAAAATTTGGTGCTTAAGGCTTTTCACTACAATTTTGAAACGTAAGAACCAGTTTTATTAATCTTTTTTAAAAAGGAAATATGGCTCTTATTTTCCCATGGAATGTGTAAATTGTAGGCAAACTTACCATTTCCTTGGGAGATCCAAAGCTTTATTTAATGCTTTCTTTTGCTTTGGGTCTAAATTCATAGTGCTTGCTCAAGTTCCCATTTGAAGAAATTACATGGGAAGTTGGTAAGATCAGAAGTCCATTCTAAAAGTGGAAAATACTTTCAATTGAATTATAGCATGATTTTCTGATTTTAATCAGGAACTGTAGTGAAAAACCTTAATTGGTTCAAATAGTCTACAACATTACATTGCAATAAAGTTGGAAGGGATGGAAAACAAATAAGAACTTTAACATAATCCTAGTAACATAAAAATAACTTACAAATCCCGAGTTATTGAGGCTCTTTTTCATTTTGAGGTGACAAACCTCTGAAGTAGTGTTAACCAACATGAATAGAAATGTGGGTGCACCAAGCTCTTCCCTGGACTACCAGCAGTCAGAGCACACCCTGCGGTGTAAGAGATTCCTGGTTTGCACAAATGCATTGACAAACAAGGCATCTTTATATATATATATATATATATATATATATATACCCTAAAAACAGAACTCAGACATAATAGAGTGCTTCTGCAGATCCTACTGGTGTTTCACTGTCTTTATGCTCTTGAAATGAAAACAAATAAGAAACCTACATAAGTATTCAGTGCATGGCTCTTGCATACAATGTTAAATAAAACTCCTAAAACTCTGGTAATGAGAAGGAAGTTGTTTTGGCTAGGGAAGTCAGCAGTCCCAACTGTTCATGTACCAGTAATTGCTGGAACAGTATTCAGAAGATACTCCTGTCTTTGCTGTCCAGTCAATCAGCTTTTTTCTGAGACTTTTAGTAAATCCACAATTACGAATGTGTATAGGATCTGCCTATACACATCATAAACATGAGGTCAGGATTCAGCAGATGTATCAACTACAGGTTGCTTTGGTGGTGTTGCCAACACTGCCTCAGCTTCTTCATGCATCTGGGAAAGAAATGTTATATCATCGATTAATTTCACTTCCAAGCACATAACTCAGTATAGTCTCCCTTTCCATTTATTTCAAACACAGAATTACTCATGTGAGACAAATTCCAATGGTCCTTACATGTAATTTACTTACTTGTAGAAACTGTACATCTTGAAATAACTCTTGTATAAACCTCCGACACTGCAATCTAAATGTGCAGTGTGACAGCAAATGGGAAACCTCAGAGTAAAGACAGATGTCATCGAATGTCTGAGGATACTTCTCCTTAATTCTAAATGGAAACAAAAGATCTCTCTGTGATAAAAATTATAATCAAAATTTACCTATTTTTCTCCCAATGTAACATCATCTACTTCTTAAACAGCTTTGGTAGCGTAGTGGTTACGAATCGGGCTGCGAACCTTAAGGTCAGTGGTTCAAAACTACCGGCCGCTCTGCGGGAGAAAGATGAGGCTTTCTACTCCTGTAAAGATTTACACCCTCGGAAACCCTGTACAGGGTCGCTATGGGTCGGAACAGACTCGATGGCACTTAACAAACCAGATGCTGATTAAACTCTGTATTAGGGATCGCACCAAAATATAAAATAACAAATATTCCTACTTTTTACTTATTATAAATTTGGAATTATTTCTTTTAAAATCGTCAAAATGTCAATGTTTCTTACAACGTTAGAAATGATTCTTTTTTAATGGCATTAAAAAACGCAACATTTATCAACCTAGAATAACTCAAATGTTTCTAAAACTATGTTTGAAAATAGAAATGCATTTTTAATGTTAGTTATTAATATCTTTTACTGAACTTTTTCTGTGCCTGCTTCAACAATTCAAATTGTGGTTTTACTAAAAGATTCAGGTGTGGGGCAGACTTAAAGAGAGCCTGATTTTTCATCTCTGCTTCTGCATTCAATTTGCTGTTACTTGGCGCTTCAGTTGAAATATATGAAGAAAGCTAGCCTCAAGCATGTAAGCACAGTTGAGTACTGATGTAAGCTAATTACTCTAACATAACACACAACTCACTGTCATTCAATCGAGTCCAACTCATAGCGACCTTAAATAGAGTTTCTGAGGAGCAGCTGGTGAGTTTGAATTGCTGATCTTGCGGTTTCACAGTCCAGTGCTTACCCTACAGTGCTACCACACAGAATACCTTTTTATCATGGTGGTGGCTGGTGGTTATGTGCCGTGGAGTCAGGTCCGACTCACAGCAACCCTCTAAAGGGTTTCCAAAGCTGTAAATCTTTTCGGGAGCAGAAAGCCTCATGTTTCTTATGCAGAACAGCTGGTAGCTTCGAACTGCTGACCTTGAGGTACACAGCCCGATTCATAACTACTACGCTACCAATCACTAATGCCCATACTCACGTTAAAAGTCCAGTCTCATGACATTTAGTTGAAACGGAACTACTCAAATTAACAACTAATCTTAGAACTTCTTTTCGAAGGAGAATACGGCACATTGGTGTATCATCTGGAATTGTTTTAACACCTGGAAAAAAACCCAAAACATTAGTGTGAAGCATTTTATCTGTATCATAATAGACTATGATTATGACTCATGGAATTTGTTTTTAAACTTTGCCTAGTTAAAGATCTAACACTGAGACTGAATGCACTTGGTCTGCAAGTCATTTTGGGAGCAAGACTCTTAATAATAGCATACGGCTACGAAGGCATGTTAGTCACTGAAACAAGGTACGAAATTTAAAAATCTACTAGGAAACAGACCTCTTTAAAACTGGCTTGCCATAATTCTCAGCTTTAATTTACAGTATTTATGAAAGATTTTAAGAATAGTTTCACTAACAGTGATTAGATTTGAATGTGCAAACTCACCTAGTAGCAATTCTGTGCTTTTGGTGCTGCTGGCTGAGCCTTCTTGAGACACCCCGTCACTGCACCCAGAAACCCCTGAAAACTTAGAGGGAGCCACTTCCAGGGGGTTATGGAGCGTCTGCTCACACCAGTCGGAATAGGTAATGTCTTGAAGGTCTAGATAAAAAAGGACAGCTTCATTTCAATTAAAGTAGCACAATACTTACTTTTCATTTACTTTTTAGAGGGGATGGTTCTCGTAATTTCTTCCCAGTTTTCAGCAACTTTTCATCATGAAGATTTCCAAAGTAAGTTTACGACAGTCCAGAAAGTGCTCCTCTGATGCCAATCCACCTCACTGAGGGTCTTCTCTTTTTTGCTGACCCTCCACTTTACCAAGCGTGATGTCCTTCTCCAGGGACTGGTACCTTCTGATGACATGTCCAAAGTGTGAGAGATGAAGTCTTGCTTTCTTTGCTTCTAAGGAGCATTCTGGCTATACTTCTTCCAAAACAGATATGTTGTCTCTTCTGGCAGTACACGGTACTTTCAATACCCTTCTTCAATATCATAACATGAATCAATTCTTTTATCATCTTCCTTATTCATTGTCTAGCTTTTGCATGCATATGGGTCACCTTAGTCCTCACAGTGACAATCTTTGCTTATTCCTCCTACCCCAATCTAAATTCCCCTTTCCATGGGTAAATGGAAAAGTTGATACGTATAATTTCAGATCCTTTGCTAGTTTACATATTCTGTTTCTTGTTCTGTCTATTGGTTGGTGAGATTAAATTGTATGTATTATTCTATGGCTTGTTACTTTTCCCATTTAATATGTACCAATATAAGAATCACACTTTTTCATCTTATCTAAAGTTCAGTTCATTTCTTAAAATTACATTTACTCTACTACCCATGCAATGCTAAGTTACTCCTAGATGGACATCTTAGTGTTGTTCAACTGACACCAACTTTTTGATCTATAAATCTCCTGAGCATGTACATGAAGTCACCCAATGACTACAACAATGGAAATTAGGAAGACTCTGGCCATCAACACTGGGCAATTTATAAAACCACACAATCTCACTGCTTTAAGAAATTGTGGAAATTACATAGACTTTCATCCTATTTAGAAAACCGATTCAGAGAAAGAAACTCAGCTAGAAACTTAGTCTTCTTGACAGTTGCATGCTCTGTTCACCATAGCACCTAGACAGAGTGGAGTAAAAGGCTACATTTTCAATGTCCAGAAAACTAGATCAATGTCAACATGACTCTCATTCCCTATCTTGGCACTTCACCCTCAGCCCTCTTAGTCAGTTGGGTTCGATAATTCATCGCAATGATCCCAAGGACTGAGACAACATACTCACAGTTATGAGGCTTATTAAGGGACTTAACAGGTTACAATTCGGGAAATGCTCAGGGAAATTCTTCCAGTCAGCTACTGATAAGGCACACAGGACACACCACTCCACTGTAAGCTTCAGCTTGATGGCACTAGGCTCTAACTCCATGGGTCAACAAACCTAGCTCCCTCACTTTAGTGCCCCACTCTATGAGCAAGCTTCCAGCCCAAAGTCACTCAGATTACTTGCTTTGTGGGCTGAGAAGTCCACTGCTTTGCCTCATGCTCCGGCTCTTGTTTCTGCTGCTGCTGGTCATCTGCCACTCCTCCAGTTTCACTGCTTTGTGTCCCTGAGTTGAGGCAGTTCAATGCACAAGGATCTCGGGATCCAAAGATGCACTCCACTCTAGGCTCCTCTTCTCTGATGGTAAAAACAGCTGTCTCCAGTTTCTGAGATGGCTCATTTCAAACCCATGCTGGAGTTTCAAGATTTTATATTTACAATGAAGTCTGCTAACATCCACAGCTGAATCGTGCTATCCTATCAGTATCTTCTCCCACCTTATCTTACCCAGACCCAGCAGGGCAGAAGCGTTGTTTGGTGGGAGTTACAGACTATGGTTAGAAGAGACATTAGATAATTCACTACACCATATTTGGGTCCACAAAATTCCTAATAGTACTATTTAAATACTAAGCAGAAAATACTTTGGTTCCTTGGAAAAGAAGATCTGTAAATTTAGCATAGTTGAAAATTTTTACTTATAAGAACGTTATGTATCTATCTGTCAGGCACTTAAAACAACCTACATAAACACTGCACATGTATTTTAAAAATAAAATTATTAGCAAAAGACATGAGAATTAAAGGTATGTTTAGAAACAATTTTATTTTTAAAATTTCCTCAGTGTTGCAGAATAAGCAGGTTAAGAGATGAAAGTAGTATTTCAGACTCAGTAGAGGTATGAGAATAGAGAAAGGGATGGAGCTTTGAGACTGCAGCAGATTCAAACTCCAGTGGCTTCATCTTGAAGGGCATAAGCACTCACCTGAATGACTACATATTGCACTTAGTTGGTTACTGGGTTGGAAACCCAGAATTTCAATACAGACACAATACAGGCAGTTATCATCCGTATGCTCCTGCAGCCCAGTGTCTTCCGTACTCTCCAAAAACAGGGAAGCATCTGAATGGATTGAATTCATTATCTCCGTAAGACTCATCTGCTGCCGCAGCAAGTGAAAAGAGTTTTTCACAAGACCTCCAGTTCCAGATGGAAGACCTGTGTATGCATACAGAGAAAACACAAGGTGACAAAGAAAGTCATCAGGAACACCTCTTTAAGGGGCCTTACCAAACCTATGTGATATTTTAAAGGGAAATTAAATGCTCAAACACAAACCTTAACAGGAAGAAAAAAGAATTATTTGCTTTAAATTACAAAAAGAAGCAAAATCAGTTGATTCATTTATATTATTTTCAAGAGATTTAAAATACAAAACAGAAAATTAATAATATACAATTAAGATTCATTCAGTCATCCTCAGTATGAAGAGTATTAATTCTGAGTAGAGAAATACTTGTTTGAAAAAGAAAAATCAAGATTTTCAAGCTATAAAACTAGAGGTTTTTACATGTATATTCAGAAAATATAAAAATTCCTAATAAGGAGAGACCATGAAATTTATAAGTACGCTTTACCTCCTTACCTACACAAACAGTTGTGTCTCTGACCTATGAGGATTAGTGTTACAACTGTTTCATGCACTAATTTTGAAAAACCTCAAACACCTGATAATTTTGTCTTCTTGAGAGACTTCTGAAGTCCTTCACAAACATTTATCATTGAGTTTAACTCAGTAATAGTTTGGTATCATTTTTAAGGATCCAAAAGTGAGTATATGTTAGTTCTTTTAAGAATCACTCCCCAGTAACTTAGTTTCATGAGAACAAAGGCCATGCATTACCGCCTGCATCGTGAGCAAATACTCTGGAAGCTCGATCGTCATGCGGAGATAGGTTTTTTGACTGAAAATAGGGAATATCCTTTACCTAAAACAGATATAAAAACATGATAAGTTTGCTCATATAAAAAGAAGTCCATTTTTATAAACACTGGCAAAATTTAATGAAACATAATTTAAATTGAACAAATATGTAAACAAATAATTATAGCATATAATTCACAATGAAACGTTTACAGAAGTTTAAATTACCCAAACTTGAAGAAATAAATTATCCTAAAAGTTTATATGATATTCTTAGTAAGTTAATGGATATTAATATAATTATTTTAGCATTTACATAAAATGTCTTTAGACTTCTGAGTCAATGTCTATTCTTTAGGACTTTATGCCATTTGCAGACTCCCTGGGGTGGCGCTGCCAGTTAATGCACTGGACTGCAACATTGGTTTGAACTGCAAGGTCTGTGGTTCAAGCTCACCAGCTGCCCCTTGGAAACCCTATACAGGGTGGCTATGAGTCAGAACCGACTCGATGGCACTCAACAACAACATATACCATGTAGAGACCTTACAGGTACTTTATACGGCTGGGCACCACATATGGCTATTCTATGTGGAATAAACAGGATCAAAGATTAAAAAACTAGGAATAAAGAAAATACACCTAACGAGGTTAGGAATTTACTGTATTCCTACAGATAAAGAATGAAAACACTAGACTTACTTAACACAGGAAGGGGGAAAATCATGTTAAAACTTTAAGATAGTAAATAAAAAGTAGATAAGCATCATGAGAGAAAAATAATTTACTTCAAAAAAATGTTTTTTTAAATAAAACTGCCTTAAAAAAATAATCACCTTGATATCACCATTGTGTCTGGCGGCGCGTGAACGCACCCTGAAATAACCTAAACAAACAGCAAACAGAGAACTTGCACTCACACATCCATTCACTCGGTACAGATCGCTGAGTGCCAGAGAACACACCAACAAACACTCATTAATGAAATATACATATGACAGTGTCGTGAAGAAATCAGGCAATTTCAGCTCTAAAATCCACAAAGAAACAAGACAGAGTATCTCAGACAAGTTACCAAAATACAGAAACAGAAAATATTAGATCAGAAATGGTATCAGAACTACCTTGATTAGGAACTAAAAACATTGATATTTAGGTACATTGAATGGATTGAAAAAATGATTGAGAAATCTACAGATGAAATTAAGAAAACCAAAAACAAAACGTTAGAAGAACTCAAAAAACACTGTAATATCAATCTGACAAAATAAAGGTAAAATTGGAAACTATATAAAAAAACTACCCTTTAGAAAGCCAGAAGATCAATGCAGGTAATTTCAGACATGAATACATTGAAAGTACAAAGATATGATACTGAATCAATAGAAGGTCTACTAAGTGAGCATGAAGACAATTACTCAATATTCACTTGCTAGAGTAACAATCAAAAAGAGAACAAGGACATTTTGAGAAAGTCTAAGATGTATATGGGACACTATGAAGAGGTATAATTTACATGTGACAGGAATTCCATTAAAGGAAGAGACCAAAAAAGAGAGAGAGAGCGCGAGAAAGAAAATTGTCAAAGACGTGTTGGAAGAAAATTTCCCTAACCATCGGGAAAGATGAGGAGATAAGCAGTCAAGAAGTTGAAAATGAACTTCAAACAGGATAGATCCCAAAAGAAAATCTGCAAGACATACAGTGAAACCATTAAAACCAAAGACAGCAGCTCAGGAAAAAGACAGTCTCCTACCAAGAAGTATTAACACAACTAAGCTCTAATTTCTTAGCAGCAATCATGTAGGCAAGAAGACAATCGGATAACATATATACAATTCTGAAAGAAAAGAATTGGTCAGAATCATACTATTGTTGTAAGGTACCTTCGAGTCTGCAACAACTCATAGTGACCTTATACACAAACAGAATGAAACACTGCCTGCTTCCACATCAACCCCACTACCCTGGCTATGCTTGAGCCCACTGCTCTTGCCATTTCCTTGGGGGTCCTCCTCTTTTTCTCTGAACCTCCACTTTACCATGCATGATGTCGTTCTTCAGGGATTTGGCATTCCTGATAATATGTCTAAAGTATGAGAGAAGAAGTTTAGCCATTCTGGCTCCTAAGGAGCTTTCTGGCTGTACTTCTTTCAACACAGATTGGTTTGTTCTTTTGGCTGTCCATGGTACTTTTAATATTCTCCTCCAACACCACAACTCAAATGCATCAATTCTTCTATGTTTTACCTTAATCACTGTCCAACTTGCACATGCATACAAGGCTACTGAAAGTATCCTGGCTTGGGTCAGGCATACCTTGGTCCTCAAACATGCCTTTTGCTCTTGAACACTTTGAAAAGGTCTTGTGCAGCAGATTTGTCAAATGCAACATGTTGATTCATTTCTTGACTGCTGTTTCCATGAGCGTTGATGGTTAATTCAAGCAAAATTAAGTCTTTGACAACTTCAATCTTTTCTCCATTTAATAATTGATCCAGTGGTGATGATTTTTTGTTTTCTTTCCTTTGAGGTACAGCCAAAGGCTGTGGTCGTTGATCTTCATCAGTAAGTATTTTAAATTCTCTTCCATTTCAGCAAGCAAGGTTGAATCATTTGCATATCACAGGTTGCTAACAAGTCTTTTTCCAATCCAGATGCCACATTCTTCTTCATATGATCCTGCTTCTCAAATTATTTGATTAACATACAAACTGAATAAATAAGGTGAAAGAATATAACCCTGACATACACCTTTCCTAATCTTAAAACCATTCAGTGTTCCGTTATTCTGTTCAAATAACCGTCTCTTGTCCTATATGCAGGTTCTGCATGAGAACAAATAAACATTCCAGAAATACCAATTTTCCACAGTGTTGTCCAGAGATTGTCATGATCCACACAATCAAAAGCCTTTGTGTAGTAAATAAAGGACAGGTAAACAACTTTCTGGTATTCTTTGCTTTCAGCCAAAAATCCATCTGACGTCAGTAATGACATCTCTTGTTCCATGTCCTCGTTTGAATCTGCTTGAACCGCTGGAAGTTCTCTGTCAATGTACCGTTATAGCTGTTTTTTAATTATCTTTAGCAAAATTTTAATTCATGCTATATTAATGATATTGTCACATGATGTCTGTAATGTGCTGGGTCATTTCTCTTTGAAATGTGTACAAATATGGAGCTCTTCAATCAGCTGGTCAGGTAGCTGTCATCAAAATTTCTTGGCAGAGATGAGTGAGTGCCTCCAGGGCTGCATCAGTTTGTTGAAAGATTCTGCTATCCATTGACTAACTATTTGGAAGTAGTCCATTTCTCCTTCCTAGTCTGTCTTAATCGGGAAGTTTAGCTGACACCTGTCTACCGTGACAATCCTGCTGATATCTAAAATACCAGTGGCATAGGCTCCAGAATCATAGCAGCACACAAGCCACCATAGTATAACAAACTGACAGATGAGTGGTGGCTAAGAATCATATACCCAGCAAAACATTTCCAGATAAACACAAATTAAAATGATTTCTAAAACCCAGACAAACCTTACAAAAAATTACTAAAGAGAGCTCTTTGGACCAAGAAACCACCACCACCACCACCACCAACAACCACTTAAGGTTAACATACAAGACAAATCATTCAAAACTCAAACCAGACACAGAATTATTCAAAGTAAAACAAACCTACAGGACTGAAAATAGGGAACCAAAGTTATCATGTTAAAACAACAACGAAAGCAAAAAGTAAAAAGGGGGAATGACGTAGTTATAGAAATGCCAAATGAAGAGGAAATCAAATAAATAGATAAAAATAAACTAACCCTAAAACTATAGACCAAGTCTTACTCCTAGTCCAAGTCCAAACCCCTGACCCTAACACCAGCCCTAATAATAACCATTACAATAACACTACACAAAGCCGTAGCCTACACTAGACTCGGTCATAGTCCTTAGTCTTTCCTGCCCTGCCCCAAAGCAAAGAAAGCACTTTTCCAAAAATTAAATTCACTGTAAATTACCATTTCTAGTAAGCAGTTATACAACATGAAAACGACACCAGAAAATAATAAAACTTATGACAATACCTGGAATATATCATTGATGTCTACTGGAAGAGCAAGACCAATGTAGTCATCTGAGCTACCATAGGTAGCACTGGACACCATGGACCTCACTGAGGAGGATCGCTGCAGGGTATTTTGATTAATAGGACTTAATAGATCTTCTTTATCTAACGAAGCATAACTTAAAGCTTTCATGAACCTAAAATGCCACACACACAAAACAAAGAACATGGCGTTAGTTTCTTCTTTTGTAATACTAACCATGAGGTAAGAGCAGCTCAAATTAGGTTACGACTCCACCATGAGAAGATGATGGCTATGCTAAATTTGAAGGCTAAAATCCCATTTTGACTCAAAAGTAGTCCTACATCAAGAACGTAGCCTCTTGTTACTGTACCTTTAGAAAACGACTCTTTATACAATTTCAGAGAACAATGTAATTTGTACTAGCTTAAGGGTTTTGTTTGCTGTTTCTGAAGTAGGGCCCCAAACAATTCTCAGAATAGATGCTTACTCAAAATAAACTGGAATTACACATTTATCCCTGAAAGTCACGCAAGACGGGCACCATGATTATTCTGAAGCTGGATGTGCCCAATTTAATGATTACTTTGTAACTTAAAACTTTAGAAATGCACACAATCTTATTCTACCTGTTAGATGTACTCTCTTCCAATTTGTAACTATTACCTAAACGTCAACCAATCAAGCGAATCATCAAAATTTTGACTGACGTTGTTTTAATAAACTCTTTGAACTATCTCCTCTTGGGATCAACTGGTTCAAAATCCTCTAGATCTTGTGATTTCCAATTTGCTAATTGTCTTGCATCTCAATAAAAACTCTTTACTTTTCATTTTAACCAGACTTCATCATTTTTGCTCTTTGACAAACATACAAAGAAATTATGGCTTATGGATGTGGCGGTGTGGAGTTCTGGTGTGGTGCTGTTGGATCAGCACTGGACTGTGAGCCATAAGGTTAGCAGTTCAAATCCACCGGCAGCTCCATGGAAACCACCATATATAGGGTGGCTACAAGTCAGAACCACCTTGAACGCACTTAACAAAAACAACATCCTGTCTACTGGAAACATATAAGCACTTAAAATATTAAGCTATTAAAATTGATATGCAAAATGCCAAATAATGTTGACTGTTACCAAAAAATAACTGTTATAAGTTTCCTAAATAAAGTTGCAAAAAGGTGGACAATTGAATTTTGTCAATGAAATTTTAAGTTCAGAGTATTTTTAAGCTATCATCAATACATAAGCTTATAACTTTCAACCTTTATAAGATATAAAAGAAACTGTCCTCAGAAGTCAAAGGTATGACCCAACAACTATCTTCAGAATTACCTGGACTGCTAGATTTGCTATCATATAACTAGTAACACATCTATTAACTTTATTCAATGTTATATTTATAAAAAACAAGATCAATTACTTGCCATTATATGGTAATTGTTTTATGCTTTAATTATCAACTTAAGATTTATGTAGCATAGAAGAAATCACAAAAAAGCAAAAATATATCTCTATAAATAAATATTATGATAGCCTTCTATGAAGTGCTATTTCCTCAGTGTACTTACAGTGATTTCATAAGTAATATGGTATACTAATGTTTCTCTAAGTGATACTTTTCTCATATCAATTCTTGTTGACACAACAGACACATTAAAGTACTTACTGGGCATTTACTTTATATGCATAAGGCCCTATGCAAAGTTGCTGATTTCTATGTATATTGCTATTTGAGAAACTTAGTCATTTATAATGAACTAATGTAGCCTAAAAAGGGGCTCTGGTAGCATAGTGGTTATGAATCGGGCTGCTAACCTCAAGGTTAGCAGTTTGAAACTACCAGCTGTTCCATGGGAGAAAAATGAGGCTTTCTGCTCCCGTAAAGCTTTACAGCCTCGGAAACCCTGTGCAGGGTCACTGTGAGTCAGAATTGACTCCACATTACTTAACAACAACAATGTAGCCTGATATTAAGACAAAAGTATTCTTTAAAACACATTTTAAAATGTTCAAACTTGGTAGTTAGTAAGATCATCATAGCAAAAACCACTCCGAATTTCAACTTTATGAAACAAAAATCTTAATTTATCATAAAACCAAAATTATTTATTAAATAAGGTCTAGAATTCAGTTGCTCCTTGGAATTCTCTTTGAGTGTGACCAGACAGATCCATTATATATAACACCCTTTGTAACTTGGGAAAATACTTCCTAAGTACTTATCTCACTGATGAGTATACATGCCACATACTTACCTCACTGGCAAGAACACCACTGACTCATGGTTATTCTAAGGTCAAATAAGAATTTGTATCAAGATCTTGTGGAATGCATTTCAGATTTGAGATTTAAGGGTCTCAGGAAATTTTTATCATGAGTGTCCTAAGCAACTATAATTTTAATGCTCACAACAATAAAACATCAATAAACAAATCTAATGAAGTATTGTTTGTTGTTTTTAAGAGCCACAGGAACCCTTAAGTATTAAGTAGACCGGCAGTTTTCCAATTGGTCTCTGTTATACCTCTCTGATTTAACAAATTCATCAAGGACTACCGGAGTAAAGGGAAAGAATACCTGGATCACGCTCCTTCCCAATACCTACTACTTTCATAAGAGTTGCTCCATCTTAATCTATTCTACATATGAAGTTTCCATAGAAATATTTTTCGTGTGAGTGAAAAAAAAAGGGGGGGAGGTGAGGGCTCTCCTGCTTTCATAGCAACATCAAAAACACAACCAATGATCTAGTCCAACCTTCACAAGATGAGGCAATGAAGACCAGAAGACTTTGTTCAAGTTCAGTCACTCAGTGCCAAGAATAGAACTCAGGATTCCTGGGTTCATTGTGATTTCTACTGTGCCACAAGGAAACATCTCAATGATACATGATTTTTAAGAGAGAAGGATTCATGTTATCCATTTCACAGTAAGCCTACTAGCCTACTCTTTCCATTTTGCAAGTGAAAGGGGAAAAAAATGCCAAAAAACTACTCAGCTTGTATTCCAAGCCATCACTATAAAGTAAATGTGTTAGTTACCCTCTAACATTGTTATTTTTTCTGAACTAGTCAAAGAATAGAAATAAAAACAGGAAGGTAGTACCACATACTCATCTTTTTTTTTCCTCTATGGAACCTTGTACATTTAACAAATAGAAGAACAAAGGCCCCTGTGCTATTGATTCTGACTCATAGTTACCCTATTAGACAGGCCAGAACTTCTAGGACTATATATCTTTATAGAAGTAGACTGCCACATTTTTCTCTCCACTAAACAGCTGGTAGACCACCAAGCAATTAACCACTGCACCACCAGGGTTCCTTACCCGGTACATAGTAGGTACAAAATACATTTTGTAAAATAAGTGAAAGATTTGAAAACCATGAAACTGTTATACCTCCATGCCTTTATTCCAAATATTCCAATTTCTCTAGATTGGTTTTTGTTTTTTTTGCTCAAGAAAGCAAAAAACATCTATTCATCATCTAAAATGCCAGTTAACACAGAAATTTTTCAAAAAACCTTCTTCTATCTTGTATTCTGGACACGTCGTCAAGGAAGGGAGAGTCTTTGGAGAAGGATATCACGCTTGGAAAAGTGTAGGGTCGGTGAAAAAGTCAAAGACCCTCAATGAGAGGCACTAGCATAGTGGCAGCAGCAAGCGACTGCACCAATGGGCTCAGACATCACAACCATAAAGATGGTGCAGGACTGAGCAGTGCTTCGCTCTGTGGTGCATGAGTCGGAGCCAACTCTGGCACCTAACAGCAACAGTCTAATAACCATACAGAATATAAGATCCTAAGGATCCAGAAAGATTAAAGAATATGTGGTTTGGGGTTGCTGCCTTTTTTGGTTTAGTCTTATGAATCTTTAAACACATCTTTTTTTCTGTTTTAATTTATTTAAATAGAAATGACTCTGCAGCATATTAAATACTTTCCTGCTTATTTCAATGAGATATAATAAATCTTAGTTCAATGAAATAGAATAAACTTAACTGGATAGATGAGAGTTAATTGTACTGTGGTTATTGTATTGGGTAGTTTTATTGCTGACTTAGGTATACTAAATAACTTACTAAGGAGCATGGTGGCTTTGTAGGATAAGCACTAGACTGCAAACCACAAGGTTGGTGGTAAGAGTTCATCAGCCGCTCCACAATACAAAGAAGTTTTCTTCTCCCACAAAGATTACAGGGTATCTCTGAGTCAGACAACAGCACAGTTAGTTACTGAGTCTGCTGTAGTCTGTGAGTTCTCAAATACTTTGACACTGTATGAGTATTTAAGCTTCCCTGGTATAGTATTAATACCAGTTGTTGTGTGGACTTCAAATCATAGCTCTAAAACATAGTAGAACTGCCCAATAGGGCTTTCAGGGCTGTACTGTTTACAGAATTAGATCACCAGGTCTTTTCCTTCCGAGAGGACACTAGTGCATTTGACCTTTGAGTTAACAGGCAAAGTTTTAACCATTAAAAACATGTAACCTATAAACATGCTAGCATTATTGAAACAAAACCACTCAACTCTATTTTAAAAACCTAATCATATAAAAGCCAGATAAGTTACATAAAGAATTAACTACCAATAACGTTAATAACAGAGTCCTGGTGTGGCATAGCAGGATAATGCGCTGTTGGTTTGAACTGCAACGTCAGTGGTTTAGACCCATCAGCAGCTCCTCCCTCAGAAACCCTAGGCAGGGTCGCAAAGAGTCAGAACCGATTCTCTGGCACTTAACTAAAACAGTAACAACATAACAATGCAAACAACAATATTAGTAGCAGTAGCTAAGTTCTACTAAGATCTTACTACGTGCAAAGTACTATTTTAAGTACTTTACATACATTAATTTGTTGTTGTTTTTAAGTGCCATTGAATTGGTTCTGCTTTGTAGTGACCTGTAGAGCGGAGCATCTGGTGCGTCTGAACCAACCATGAGGTTAGTAGTCAAGTGCTTACCTTACAGCGCGCCACACGAGGACTCCACATACATTAATAACTTCAAATAAATAATTTAAAACTGAGGTAAGTATTTGGTCCAGCTATAAAATAAAGGAACCGTTGTATCAATTATTTTTCAGAAGTAAATCTAAACTTAGCTATATTGACCAGTTTGATGTTGTTGAGTACCAGAACCTGTTGCTGCTGAATCCGATGGGCTAAGGAATTCATAGTGTACTAGGTTCCTGCTTAATAATTATAACTACTGAAAACAAACTGAGAATAGTTTCCCTGAAATACCTGGTTATCTTAAAAATACAAAAAAAAAAAAACCAAAGAGGTCAACTTTGGGGGCCTTAAATTGACCTACCTGAAAAGGTTGTTTGTTATTGTAGGTCTTAAGCTCCTGATTCCCCCGACATGCTTCTTTTTAAAATCGATCCTTGCAGAAGCGAGAAATAAATAAAAAAAAGCTTATGACTTGTGTGTCCTTGCAACGCTGATACGTTTATTTTCAGGCCTAAAGGAGTTTTGTTCCCCCCCTCGCAGCTGCAAGAATCCATTTCAAATCATATCGGGTAACTAGGAGCTTATAACCTACTATAGTAAACAATTTTAATGGGTCAGTTCTGTCCATGTAAAATGTAGATGTAAAACCTGGCTAATGTTTTACAATTCAGTCTCTTATAATGCAACTATTACTGTGAATTTTTTTAAAGTATATTATCTCACCTGCTTGGTGTTAACCTGGACTCAAAGCTGTTGGCCTTCATGGTGATGGTATCAGTAAACAGCACATCTTTTGCTGGAGATGCCAAAGCTTCAGAATGAGATAAGGAAGGATGCATTCTTTGCTGCTGCAATCTTTTCAGCGTAGCGTAGCCAAAGGCATCTCTTGAACTTGTGTAACTAAAGTTACAATCTGCTAGACTTTTAATTGTAGCAATAGAGGGTGTTTTAAGGGACTGTGCTCTTCTGGGAAGTGTATGAGCAGAACCTGGAGGCACCAGGGACACTGAGTTTGACTTGGAGAGAGACAGATGGTTAGACTGTGGCGTCAAATAGTGGCTTGTCTTAACAGTTTTAGTACTTACCACAGTGCTCATACTTCCACAGTCTGTGTCCATAGTTGTAGCATCCACAGCCACTGTCTCCCGAGAAGGACTGGAGCTCATTGAACTTATACCACTTGTTGTAGTATCTGTATTAAAACTTTGGCTCCGTATCTTCATATGTGAGCTTGTTGAACTTTCTACAACTAACCTCTCTCGGCTTGTATTTTCTCTGTGATTCTCTGTACCAAGACTCTTGGTGAATTTTAAGTCATTTTCTCCAATACTTGGAGTGCTACCAGTGTCTTCTATGTGTTTATTCCCAACAAATGAAGTTTCTAATTGTAAGGTTTTCTGGACTGTCGATACGGGTGTGAAATCATCAGTATGATTGAAGTCAGCACTGGATGGCTCCGTGAGTGTTCTGATTCGCCGGTTGGTTGTCTTATTTTCAGATGACAGTTTCCCTCCTTTTGGATCACTGCTACTACGGTGTTTTTTATTAGGCAAACTAAGTGAATTTAAGATACGGTTCTTGACAAGTTTACTAGAAGCAAAGAAAGGGAATGAATTTTTATCCTTTATAGGTCCAGGTCGATCATAAAATGCTGGTTCTGTATCCTCATTGATGTCAAGGAAGAACGTACTAGTAGAGCTGCTGCCAAACCGGTCATCCTCCATTATGAACATACCTAGGATTGAAGGGGTGGTTTGAAAAGGTATATAACACATAGCAAACCAAATCATGGTAACTACTAGTCACATATCAAATTTCAGGAAAATTGTTTTTATAACAGTCTTCTGGAGAAATAAAGGATTCAACTACCAAGTCACATGAAAAGAATCTTCCTGAGACTCAGAATTTGGACTCGAATAAAATGTACATTTATGTTATTATGAATGTCCCCTATTATTTCTAAAGAAGAACTATAGGACTCATATGGCACCGCTCACATAAAATTTCTCTTCAGTATTCTAGCAAGTCTTGGAAAACTATACAAATTCAGGATGAAAGTAAGGAAAACAAGTGCTCTGACTATGCACCTTCTTTCAAATGGTCCTGCCTGAGAACTGCTGGGACTGTTCTACTTAACAGATACTACTTACAGGGAATACTAATGACCAAAGAAGAATCTTAGTGATCTCTGTATTTCAAATGTACTGACACATAAATTCTTTAGTGGGATCATCATAAATTGTTTTAGTCTTCCACATACACCAAAACCAAACCAAATCTCTTTGTCATGCAGTCGATCCTGACTCAGAGCAACACAACAGAACAGAGAAGACCTGCCCCGCAGATTTCCAAGGATGTAAACCTTTAGGAAGCAGGCTGCTCCATCTTTCCCCTGCCTTCCAGGTATCCTTACTTCTAAATAACTGTCTTTTAAATTCTTATTGGAAAAGACATTATAGGCTATATAGTAAACACAGAATAACCAATTTACTTTCCAGCGTACGGCTAAATAGCAGAAACAGATAACCACCTATGGCACAGAAAGATCTCTAGTAGTTATATTAAAATATGAAAAGAAATGGCTAAAGTTAGTTTTAATGTATTGAATCCAATATACCCAAAATATTAAAATATTATTATGTGATGTGCATGGCCACTGAGATGTCTCCTCAGAGACTTTACATGGCAAAGAAGAGCTGTCACATTGGGTTTCCTATGGCTGTAATCTTTAGGAAGCAAACTCACATCTTTCTCCTGAGAACTTTTGTGAAGTGCTATCAAGTCAGTTCCAACTCACAGCGACCCTGTATGGGGTTTCCAAGGAATAGCTGATGGGTTTGAACTGCTGACTTGTGGTTAGCAGTCCAGTGCTTCCCTACAGCAGCACGCTTAACTACTGTACCACAGGACTCTTTTCCACTTGATACTATTGTTGATGTTGTTTAGCGTGTTTGAGTTAGTTCTGACTTATACACAGTACAAAATACTCTGATTTACAGTCTTGGAAACCCTGTGCAGGGTCGCAACTGACTCCACGGCACATAGCAACAACAACAACAACACACAAGTAGTCCATGGACAGCAAAATTCTAAGGAGTCCAGCTATTTTGTTTAAAAAAAAATTGGGGTGGAGAGAAAGAACAATAGAAAAAAAAAGTTAAAGATCCTTTTGAGAAAGTCCAAATGATGACCTAGAGTTGTGAGCAAGTGAAATGGGGGCAGCTATGGGGCTGAGACAAGTGCTACATGTGGGGAACGTTTCCAACAAATGGAGCTGCTGTGCTCATTCAAAATAAACTCATCCACCCATTAATGCCATACTGCTCACAGCCTCCTCAGTTTTATGGCAGTTAATTTTGCAATTAATTTATACTTTAAAAAAAACCAAAAACAATAAAAATAGTTACCTGCCTCTCTCTCTAATACCCAATACCTACCATATTTTGAGTACTAACTACATGCCCAAAATTGTTAGGCACTTTACAAAATACTTACGATATATTCACCCCCATTTTGTAGATAACGTTACAGGGTGAATTACTCCCCCTCAAAATGTGTTGTAAATCCTAACCTCTATGCTTGTGCTGGAGTCCCGGTATGGTGCTGTAGGATAAGCACTGGACTGCTATATCACAAGGTCGGCAGTTCAAACCCACCAGCTGCTCCTTTGAAACCCTTTAGCTAGGAATCTAAACCAACTCAATAGCACTGAACAATCTGACAACGTTGCCTGTGTTATACTCCCATTTGGCAATAAATTGTCTGTTATGTTAGTGAGACTACATGTGTATAGAATGTGTTTTAAGTCAATCTCTCTTGAGATATAAAGGAGATTAAACACCCAAGGCAAAGCAGCAGAGATGGGGGAACACAAGGTGGCACACCACACGTGAAGATCGTCAAGAAGCCCAAGAATAAGACTGAAGAGACAAGATCCTTCTCTATGGGCTCACAGAGAGCGCTTTCCCTGAAGAGTTGGCTCCAGGAATCCTAGATTCCTGAACAGTGATAAAATACATACATTTCTGTCTGTTTGAGCCATCCACTTGTGGCACTTCTGTTATAACAGCATAGATAAATAAGACAGTAAAAATCTAAAGCTTAGAAAGGTCATGTAATTTGCCTAAACCCATAGAACTAGTAAACAGAGTAATTCAGATGATCAAATGATTCAAATGATCCCAACTTATTCCAGAGTTGTCAAACAAAAGCATTAGATACTGCCCCATTGTGAGATAGATTAGGTTTTGTTGACTGTATCCTTTAAAATCTTTGTTTAAAGACATATTTCAAACCAGATCTCCATTTACCCATCACTACTACTCTGAGAGAAGCCCTGGAGTGGCACCTATAGGATAGGCCATGGACTGCTAACCACAAGTTAGGCAGATCAAAGCCAGCAGCCAAACCTGTAGTTAGCAGTCCACGGCCTATGCTACAAGTGGGTTTCCTTGGAAACCCCATACACAGTCCCTATGAAAGTTGGATCTGACACTAACAACAACACTACTCTGAGAAATCCTCAGAAGCAACACAAACCTCTGGGCAGTAGTCACTAACTATTTGGCATTAACTTGTACAGCTCTCATAAATATACTCCAAGTTACCATAAACACTGATAGGGATTCTTATTAGGAATTCCTAATCCTTATCAAAATACACTTACAGAAAACCAAGCCATGACCTTCAAAATCTGTGCTTAAATCAATTATGCTTAGTTCCCATTTTGCCTTAGATGCTAAGACACTCACTGAAATTCAGTATCCAACTCTAACAGAATGCTAATCCAGGTGTCTAATAAATTAGTTTTAATCTCTTTGTTAAATAATTATGTAACTGTTCTTGTTAGGTACTATCAAGTTGATTCTCACTCACAGTGACCCTGTGTAGGGTTTCTGGGGAATGGCTGGTGGTTTTGAACTACTGACCTTGCAGTTAGCACTCCAGTGCTTACCCTACAGTACCTCACCTTCAAATATATTTTGAAAATAAAACCCTAAACAAACATGCACACCGTATTGTACTTCTGTGTTTTTTGTATTCTAACGTGTATTCTTATTTCACAATTTAACTTCTCTAAAGTCAGGCTGCATCTAGCAATCTGTGCTATTATCTAGCTTAATAGGCGGCATATGTTTTTCTTTCTGGTACATCAAATCCTGGTGCACCTTGCAATTTAAACCATTTTCGATTTGGTGAAAAAAAACAAACAACACTTATCAGCATTTGCTGTTGTTGTTATTATGTGACATAGAGTCGGTTCTGACTCATACTGACCCTGTATAGGGTTTCCAAGTAGCGGCTGGTGAGCTTGACCCGCTGACCTTGTGGTTCAAACTGACTTTGCGGTCCAGTGCATTAGCCTGCAGCACCGTACCCAGACTGAGCTTAAAACTACAAACTTTTATATATAAATAACTTTGATACTCTATCACTTAACAATTTCAGTACATAACTTCTAAAATTCAATGTTTCTCTTAAAAATGAACATGTGAATATAATATCCCTTCAAAATACAAGGGGGCTTCATAAGAAAATCAAGTTAAAAGGTAATGAAAAATTTCCACTAACTTTTCTAACCACCCTTGTATATTCTTATTTAATAATCTCTAATTCTTAAATATTAGTAAAAAGACTAAGTAAAATGAAGAAGATGGATGAATAAACTTTACTTGTTAAATATATCTCTGACAGGCATAAAGCAGCATTGTTCTTTTGGCACATGTCTTAGAATTCTCTGTGTGCAGCATTTTCCTTAGACAAAAAAGTGTATGTAGAAAGCAAAGGGCAAGAACAATGTAGGTTGGTAACTGCACTCTCTGTTCTAAAAAGAAACACATTCTCCCAGTGGCTATTACTGCCAAATAATCAACTTTGAAACAAGTAATTTAGGAATGGACCAAATACATTTCAAATTTGGAATTGCAAACAGCAATGCTAATTTTGGCTAAGATGACAGAAGCCTGTCAGAATACTTACTTGATGGTGCAGACTCACTTTCACTATTATGTCTGGAGCTGGTTGACTCTGAGTTCAAGCTTAGGGTGCTTGGGATAGATGAGAGTTCATTACAAAGCTGTTCTACATCATCGGGAACCACTGGCCACAGATGTTTGCGACTATGCCTCACAGCATCCCAGTTGTGACATTTGAGAATATCACAGCCTTGCTTAGTTTTTGCTATGAGCCCAAGCACATATACACAGGTCCTGTATGTAAAAGACATAGTAGTGACAGTTTAAGATCCAAGCTGAGATCTCATAAAATAACCAGAGAACACTTTTCTAAATGCATGTTTTTAAAAAGCCATTAAAAATTGCTTACTTTGTGTCAAAAAAAAAAAAAAAAAATTAAAGCAACTGAGAAACTCATCGGCAGCAATAAATATTAAGAGATTCTTTTGAATAAAAATAATTACAGTGAAATAAAAGAACAAAATATAAGTTTAATAATAGTAAAAAGGACACTAATTTTTTTGGCACAAATCTGGAATAGTTTGACTATTTAAAAGCATACTTTTGCTATTTACTTGCAAAGGTAAATTTCAATTTTATAATAATAGAAATGGCATAATAATACTAAACAAAAAGTTCCTTAATATGCCTAATTTAATGAGTTTAAAATGTTTACATAATTAGAACTTTCAGTAAAGTAAGTTACCCTGAGCCATACTGAGTTGTGAAATACTATCTCCTCATATCTGTCTATGAATAACAATGTATTTTAGGAACATTTCTGAGTTAGATGACTTACCCTCTGATGGAAAGAACCTCACACTGTTTTGCAAGTTTTAATATATCTGGGATCACATTTTCTTCCTGTAGCAAATTAAGACCCCAATTTGAGGAGCCAATATTTCCCTGCAGGAAGATAAATTTCTGTTTTAAATCACAAATTTAACTCTATATTATAACTAAGAGAGAAAAAAATGTGAAAAACAAAAACCTCAACTAAGAAAAATTATAAATTAATGTTCCATTTGTTTGAGAAAGGAAACTAAAAGCAATAAAAACCAAACCCAGCAACCAAACCATCAGTATGAAAACAGTTTATAATGAGCAAGGACAATTTTAGTCTTAGAAGAGTAATCCAAGAAAAAGTAATTTAGGACTGGACCAAATACATTTTGTTTTAAATTATTTAATATTAATGGTAAGGGGTCCTGGTGTGGCGCTGTAGGATAAGCACTGGACTGCTAAATACAAGGTCAGCGACACAAACCCACCAGCTGCTCCTCGGAAACCCTATACGGAATCACTGTGAATTGGAACCAAATCGACAAATAATTATTTTACCAAAGAAAATTCTTTAAAAATTGCCAAGATCTTATAAAAGTGTTTATTACAAACCAAAGCCCAAAGGGATGCTTTCAGTTTTTTAATTTCTTCCCACTTATCCAAATCTGATGTACGAACGTTGTGACAGAGTTCTGTAACAATATTCTGGAAAAAGGAGAAAATTTACCATGTGAGTAACAGTATATTATGTTTTTAACACATCTATTTTACCATCAAACAAATTGAAATTTTAAGTAATTTTTAAATATTTAAAATTCTAAAACAATTTTATGTGAAATTTCTTAAGAAGCAGCATTACAACACTATTTCTGGGTTTATATTCTAGAATTACCACTTTTTAGCTGGTTGGCCAAGAACAAGTTGCTTTACCTCCTAGCCCTCGACTCTTACTCTACAAATTAGGGATAAAATAACACTTTTCTCATAACAGTCAGTGATTCATGAATTAGTACATATAAAGTACTTAACACAATACTCAATACTAAGCATTAAAAAAAGTTAACCATAATTGTCATAATTTCTTTTAAATAGAAAAATCAGAGTTTATTAGACTAGAGAGATAGGAGGAGTCTTGGTATTGTACTGCAAGATAAGCACTGGGTTGCAAGGTCAATTTGAACTGCAAGGTGGCGGTTTAAATCCACCAGTAGCTCTTTGGAAACCCTACACAGAGTCACTATTGAGTTGGAACAACAACTTACAATGTCAATAAAAAAATTATTTAAAATGTTAGTGAATTTTTAAAAAATATAAAGTTATCTACTCTGTAGTTTAAAAACATATGAAGCTTTAGAGTATTTTATTGAAAAATATTTGTGTTCCTAAAGATAAACACTGAGAGAACAAACAAGATGGCGGATCGGGTGGACGTGTAGCCAAGAGTTCCGCCAACAACAACACAGAATACCTGACCAAGCAGGCTCAGGGGATGGTCCCAGAACTCTGAACCACATATAAAGGAATATTTAGAAGGCTGGAAAGCTCACAACTAGGGGAACTTGTGGCAGAAGCAAGAAATCTATTGCTTTCTAGTCCAGGATGCTCGGCTGCTCCAGGAGCCACCATCTTGGGTGAGACCAAGCGATGGAAGGATCGGAGTGGCCCCAGAAACCTGGCAGAACCGCTTAGATAAAGGTGTGGACATTCTTTTCTTTTGGTATCTGTTCATTGGTCCCTTGCTGTCTGTGCACCTCCATCCATTCTGGTGACTATAGGCGTGCCTGAGCTAGTGGGCACCCAAGTCCCACCCTCGGAGGGTTCTACTACTCATGCACACAGATCTCCTCAAAATTTAAAGAGACAGTTTCCAATTAAAACCAAACGGTCACAGCCGGCCATGAACTGTTTACAACTAGAAAAAAGACTTGAATGGGGATTGTGGAGCGGGACAAGCAGACAAAAGAGGAAATAGGCCGAAAATTAAATTCTAAATTACATCAAAACGAGCAACAGTGGTATTTTGAAACTTCTCAGGAAGAAGAGTGAAAAG